ATTGACTATCTGTTGCATACACCCCCCAGAAATCAACTGCCAAAAAAAGTTTTTCATGTAAGATAAGGACTTTAAGCGTCAGCTAAATGTAATGTAATTTAATAATGATCAAAAAACCCCTCTATTCTCTAGACAGCGTGGGTAAATTACCGTACAGCCAATCACAATGCGTGACGTCATGACGTCGTACATCATGACGTCACTGGTAAGAGACGGACCCCGAACACATCTGGTACCCCGAACACATCTGGTACCGACACCGGACGAGGGATTCCCCCTCTTCTCTTGCTCATGAGAGCCAGATCACAGCTGTTTTCTGCCTGAACAATATTCTGTCTGTAACACTACCGCGCCTTTTTTAATTAAAGTATCCCATTTGAATCTTCTCAGAGACTCCATTTAGTGTCATTTTAAAGCTTCTCTCCTGGACGCGAGAANTCTTTTGTTTCTGCTTACTCCTCTTTTATTCTCTTTAGCTCCATTCTCATATATTGCATTATACCATCCATTATATACAAGTCACGGCAACCATGCAATCAAGTGTGTTCATTGTTGCCTGATAAAAAGAATCGCCTACGTACAGTTAGTTATGTATGTTGATAAAGTGTACATGTTATAAAAGAATCTGGGATTATGATGAATAAAGCAAAACTAACCAATATAAACTAATATAATATATTAATATTCTATAATATATAGTTATACTTTATGAAAAGATAATATTTCTATAGTTTTTTTTTCATAAATAATTCATTCCCTATTAGCAACGCGTCGTTAGTGTTAGCTTGCAGGTGGTTAGCTAGGGTATTTACCTGTTTCATTTAGACAAATGTCAACAAGTTATACCTACAACTTCTCCATAGGTATATGAGAGAGTAAAACGAGAGGTTTCACGTGGTCTTAACTACGTAAATTGAAAGTTATAAAATTTTTTTTTAGTGAGGTTCCCTCACGAACAAGAGGAAGATTGTATTTCTTCAAGTTTTTATCTTGTTGGTCGAATGCACTTAAGCGTCAGCTAAATGTAATGTAATTTAATAATGATCAAAAAACCCCTCTATTCTCTAGACAGCGTGGGTAAATTACCGTACAGCCAATCACAATGCGTGACGTCATGACGTTGTACGTCCTGACGTCACTGGTAAGAGACGGACCCCGAACACATCTGGTACCGACACCGGTTGTGTATTTTCAAATTCTAGCGCACTCGAGCTGCTTTCTCCAAAATTACCTACCCCACCGTTAATATATTCATTGCTATCGGGATGTTAAGAGCATTCCATGGAATATAACAAAAAGTGTTTCTGAAATAAATTACATACCCCACCTTTAAGTAAAAGTAATACTTCCTCCTCCACTGTTTAAAACGTCCCAATGGTCATTACTTTTAGTGTTATGTAATTCGTCGAGGATGGGCCACAATGTGCCTTGCACCAAGAGTATGCAGCTTTGAACTAACAGTACAGTGCAATTTCTGATAAGCACACCCTCAGCCACACAGGAGGAACTAGAATAATAACCTGCTGAAGGAAATACTGCATGGTGCAAGTGTTGTGTTTACACCGTATACACGTGCCCTGCTTCAGCAAGTGTCGATGCAGAAGGGCTGCTGCTGTGGGCGGTCGCA